AGCCTGGATGCTCCACACAGACATATCCCATTAACAAAGATGTGACCAGCTTTTCTCTACATATATTTTTATATGTATATTAAACACACACAGGAATATATGTGTGTTGGAATCTGTCCCTCAGAATCAACTGATTGAAGAGCTTTTCACAGGAGGAATGTTTGTAGCACTTACTGCTCTCCAGGTGCTTGAGTTTCAATCAGAAACTATTAATAAATTAAAGAGCAAGCCTTTAAGACAAAAAAACCCCTATTTTTGAATGTCTGACTCAAAAATCCTGCTGCAAGCAGTTTGTGGTTTCAGCCTGGACTATCACAGGCAGCCAGACCCAGCAAACCACACTTGGGATGTCCCTCCTCTGAGTGGTTCATTGGCCTCTGGGACAATCCCCTCCACCCTGCTCTCCCCCAAAGCACCAGGGATGGGGATTCCTGGCTGCTCTTCCTCCTGGGAGCCCGTTTTTCCTGCATGCCCTTCACTTGGAACACTGACTGCTGCAGCCAGGGAATGCTGGACGGGGATGCCCTTGGAGCTGTGCAAATCCTGCTCTCCAAACAGGAGAAATCCGGTTGGAATCTCCTGCCAGGCAGAGGGTTGGGAAATGCCTTTGTCTGGTGCATCAGAGCCCTGATTCCATCCAGCAAAGCCAGCACAGCCCAGACAGCAGGGACAAAAACCAGGAACGGGGCAGAGCACTGGGCATCCTGTGCCACAGCCAGGCCTGGCACAGCTCCCTGCCAGAGGGGATGGGAATGGGAGCACAAAGAGGAGAAATCCCTGCTTGGCCCACGAGTTCCTGCTTTGGGAACAGCCTTAGAAATCCACCTGGAGCTGAAACAGGCTTCCTTTGCAGGACACTGGCAGCATCCATGGAAAGCAGGGGCAGGGAAGGTGGACTGGGCTCCGAGCTCAGTCAGGCTGAGTTTAAGGGTCCATCAGCAGGTCTAGCACCAGGATTTTGTTACCCATCTTGCACAGTCTGACATCTCTGGCTGCCAGGGCCTGTCAGTTCTGTCTCAGCAATGTCCCTGTGAGCATGGAAATGGGAAACAAAAACCACAGGAGATGGCTGCAGGTTAAGGTCTGTCTCAGACCATGAACATCCTCACAACCAGGCCCTGCTTCTCCCCCTGCCATTCCAAATGTCACCAAAAACGAGGTCTGAGGTGCTGAAACACCACAGATCTCACTTTATGCTTTCTATTTTTCTTCCATTTGTCAGAACAAAAAAGCTTAGACTTCTTCTGTTGCAATATTTAAACACATACACAGGTAGTTCCTGTAATATCACACAAACCAACCCAAAAACATCCAAAAGGCCCATTTTCAGCCTCTCTTACAACCAAGCTGGGCTGGATTAGCCCATTCCAGCCTTTTTTGCAGGCTCTGACTTGTGCTGATTTATTCTCCACACACAAAATAACCCCTTTGAGATGTGGCACAGACCATGTAAGTTCTTTGCTTATCCCCATGGAATTTCCCAAGGATTGCAAACACTGTGCATGGACGTTCCCAGCCACAGGTACAGCAGGAATTCCTACAGGTCTCAGACATCCCATGTGCTCCTTCAGGGCCCACAGGGATAGTTAAGGGTTCTAATTACTGTTTCCAGGGTTCAGAGTGTTCACAGGGACAGTCCTCACACCACCCTCTCAGGATTTTATCCTTTTATTTTAATAGCAGCAGTCTTTTCACAAAATTTCTTTTCTAGAAATTAATCAGTGCAATTTTACTTGGAAAAAAAGGAAAATCCACCTACACTGGTCTAAAAAAACCAAACCAAACAAACCCCTCCATCATCAGCTCCTTTCAATTAGATTTAATTCCCTACCTCTGTTTTCATGTTTAAATTTGTCCAAAAGAATCAAAAGAAGGATCCTGTCTCCCCCCTTTTCTGAAACACTTGGAACATCTCTGCATATATTCCCACTTCTTCTTAAGAGCCAATAAAGTGGATTAATTTTTTGAGGTTTATAAGTAGAAGAAAAGAACAGAGACTTAAACCCCCTCTGGAGCTCACACAAAGCTTGGATTTCATGAGCTGACTTGCAGTAGAAAGTGTCACAAATACACCTCCTAAAGAATGTTTTTCAAACCTTATCTGGGGAGGTTTTGCAGAATAGGCCTCAAACACTAATTCTCTTCCCAGCACTAACCCTGTCCTTGCAGCTGGGGAGGAGTGGGGCAGGATTGCTCAGGGAAGGGGCTGTGCCCTGCCAAGCACAGCCCAGGCTGGGCTGGTTGGGACATCTCCTGGTGAAAGGTGCAGAGTTGCAGAGTGAAGTGACAGAGGACCCACACACACTCAGGGGGGATCTGCCCAGCCCACACCCAGCAGGGCAGTGCCTTCAACCCCAAAACTGTGGGGTTTGGCTTGTTCCTCTCAGCCCTGGAACCTACAGCTGCCAGGGTGGCAAACACCCCCTCTGTATTTGCACCAAATCACAGATATCCCACAGCTTCTACATTTCTGTGGATTTAACCTCAGTACCAGCACTGCCTGTGTCCATGTGAGCAATCCAGGACATGCTGCAGTGGCTGGACACCAACTCTGGAAGCACATCCAGGGTGAGTAAAGTCAAATTTGGTTTTTAGGCTCTTTTCCCCTTCCTCCAGTGCTTTTGGCCTGACCCAGCTGTGTCCTGCCAAAATCCCTCCCCACTGCCCCATCATTCCATGAGCTATTTCACACCTCCACTGGGGTCTCATGTGGAGCCAAATCCAGGCAGACACTGCAGGGCTCCAAAGCCTGACGGAATGGAATCTTTCCCTGGACACTGGGAGAGGCCCCGGGTTGTCAGGGGGAAAGTGTCTCCAGGGCAGGAATGATGCTCAGCTGTGCAGTTCCTTCCATACCTTCCCAGTCATTGGATCCAGATGCCACAAGTTTCTCAGCTCTTTATGGATCTGAGAAACACAGACGTGGACTGACAGGGGAGAGGGGAATCCCAGGCCCAGGGAGGGAGGACTGGTCAGGGGAGTACTTTAAAAAAGAAGAAAAATGGGAAAAAAAAACAAAACAGGAAAAATAAGGAAAAACTGAACAAGACAATAGGAGAAAAGGGAAAGGGGAAAAAGGGAAAGAGAATAAAGGGAAAAAGGGGAAAGAGAAAGAGGGGACAGAGGAAAAAGGGAAAAATGAAAAACTAAGAACATGAGAAAAGGGAAAGGAAAATGGGAAAGAAAAAAGGGAAAGAGGACAAAGGGAAAGAGGGAAGGGAAAGAGGAAAAAGAGAAAGGAAAAAAAGCAAAAGAATAGGAGAAAAAGAGGAAGAGGAAAAGGAAAGAAAGAAAGGGAAAGAGGAAAAGGGAGAAAGAAAAGAAAGTAAAAATAAAAGAAAAAAGGAAAAAGTAAAGGAAAAGGAGAAAAACAGGAAAAAGAAAGGAAGACAAAGGTGGCTGGTTCTGTGTCCAGCCTTTGAAAAGACGAGGCCAATTCCCAGTGTTTCCATTCCAGTTCAGCCAAACACTGGAGAAGGGAAGGGAAGAGAACTTCTCAGGAGCTGGGCCTGGGGCACAGGGGCTGCAAAGGAGGGTTTGCCTTCCCCAAGAACTCACCCACTGTCCCCACACACTGAAATCTCTGCACTGCTCACAGACATCCTGCAAAGCATCCAAGAGTGATCCCAAATGGGAGGGCCCAAAACATACTGACATTCCAGTTTCCTCTAGTCCCTGCAAAACCCTTTCCCTGCCCAGCTCCTGGCTGGGGCACAGCCCTGTGCCCACCCCTGAGGCTGCTGTGCTGCCTGGATGCTGTGTGAGAAGGGCTGGGTTTGTGCCAAAGCTGCCACAGGTCGGTCAGAACAGTGCTGGAGACGCTCCCAAACCAGCAATTCCGAGTGATGTCCCCTTCCAGCCTCTCCTCCTCTCCCCAGGGCACATTTCTATAAATGTACACACATGTGCACATGTGAGTGTGTGTGTGTGTGTGTGTGTCTGACACTGCTGGAGCCCAGCTGGGGCCAGGCTGCACCTGCACAGCACAGCAGGGTCCTCTGCTCCTTGGGATGCAGG